GATTGACTCTGTATTTGTACCAAGATAAAACCTTGTAGTTTGCTCTGATGGGAGAACTGCTCCATTCTCACACAGAAATTCATCAGCCATCAACTGTGCCAAACACCAAAGATGTTAGCAAGGCACCCACCTCTAAGACATAAAATGTTGCAGGATACACCACAGTCCACTTTCAGGCTGTAGTAGCAAGTTCCATAAAACTTATGGCTTGCAAAGCTACGGAGACACTCATTTATAAAGATATGAAACAGTATTTGTGATAGAGGAGCACCAAAATGTGTGCTCCTTTTTACTGGCACTCTCTCCTCTGCACTGTGCTGTACTGAACATGTGCAGACCTATTCTGAGTTTTCCGGAAGTGAAACAACTTTATGGTAATCATATGCAAAATGTTTCTCAAGATTTTTTTGCAGTTTACTTTTTTATGAGTCTGTTAAAAAATTTAAGAGAAGCTTTGTTGACACTTTATATGCTTATTTTTCTTTGAAAAGAAAATTGGAGGATTTTTAAATTTTCATATCGAAGATGATAAAAGGTGAAATAGCATCATAATTCTTATCTTGTTCAGTTTGATATTTGGTTGTTTTATTTTCTTTTGACTAGTTTTATTCATCTTCAGACTTGTATAAGTCATTAAAACAAAAGGTTTTTTTTTTTTTCTTTTCATTTTTCTGTTTTGAGGAATCTGGATGGAAACAATCTAAGTAGAAACCGGATCAAAAGATTGAAATTCCTAACATGGAACCTCTAAAAAATAATAAATACTACAAATATTTTAAGTATTATTATTTCAATGTTTAACTACCCCAAAAAACTATTTTGGTGAATATTTAGTCCTCTGAGAAAAACTGAAGAAATGAACATATTAGCATCAAGTATATTTGGATATTACATATTGTTGCCCTCCCAGTGTGTTTATGAAATGGATATTTTTAATGTAAAGATCCTCACAATGAATGAATTTATTTGTGTCACAAAAGAATAACAAAAATTTTTTAAAGGATGTGTAATATATAGTTATAGCCATTTATTACTTTGTAGAACGCTTTATTCATCCAGTGACTCTAAAACATTTATAGTTCACCAAGTAGTTCACTGATCAGCATGCTTCTTTGGCCATCTGAATATCTATAGAATAGAAAAGAGATGATTTTTAACACAAGTGTTTGTTTTTTAGCTGAATATTGGTTGCAACTCCACATTCTAATAAAGGTGAAAACATGATCTCTTAGCAGCACATGTTTCCACTCACTTTTCATGCTTACTTAACTCACATTTATTGAGTGCCTACTGTGTGCAAAGCCACTGTAAGCCACTGTGCACAAGTGCCATGGTGTGGCAGAAGATAAACATACAGAAGAAATGCACTAAAGTTTTCCTTTTATTTATTTGCTACTGTATTTAAGATGTAAGAATCAGCTATCAAAAGAGGCTGATAAGTTCCTTCTAAACAGGCAAGTATGTAGCAGTTGTGGGAGGGGGAGATGGAATAGTGGCATTTTTCAAAATAGCATTTGGTATTACAGATTGATGCATGAAAAATAAAAACAAGGATAAAGTATTGAGTCAACAAATTATTATTATTATTATAGCTATTTTTATGAGTTGATCTTGCTCTGCCTTTGGATTAGGCCACAAATTTTAGTCACTCATTAGCATTCCTTCTTTGAAATGACTTTAGTATGGTTGTATATTAATTTGATGTCTATGAGTTTCCTGAAATAGAAGATTGACTTGACCTGTGGCTGGTGCCAGAGAGATTGCATCCTGTGTCACATCAGCAAATTAACACTGACTTTAACCCTTATATGGTAAAGCCTAGCACGGGCAAAACAACATCATCATTATTTTTCTAACTTCTAGCACTTCATTAACTCTGGCACCACGTAGGGGTTATATAACTGTGAGCATGACTTAGTAAAGTTTATAAACATAACAGAGAACCTTCTCACGGGTGTCCTAGGCCAGGCTGCATGCATTACATTTTGGGGTCAACCAAAGTTCCTGCTCCAGACAGCTCACCCTTCAGTTGCAAGGGGAGGTAACTGCCCACATTGGCTGTCCCGGCACTAACCCTCTTGATCAAACTTAGCAGCCTTATGCTCCAGCCAGATGTCACCAGAAGAAGATTGATTACTTCTTAATAATGTTTCTTGTAAGTTTCGCCGATCTGGGTCTTTTTTCAGTCCCTGAGTTCTTAGCACTTGACCCTTACAATGTGGCATTCCTTGAGGCTCTGGTCAAACAAGACCGTGGAGTCTGTGAGAGAACCGAATTCAGCCAGAAGTGCAAGTAAGCATTGAGGACTACCAAGTCTGCCGCACTCAGGTGAATCTAGGCAATCACAACCACCCATCCACAGCTCTGTGAGCCTTGTTTTTGCACTAGAAACTTCCTCTGAGTCCATCACTGGAGCTCTACACTGAATGGAGAGAAGTCTTGCAGAGGGGCCATGGGGAGAGGGATGCTTACCATATAAACATTTTCAAATACAGAATGTAATGCCACAGGAAGCAGAGTCTACCGGGGAACTCTCATTAGAGATCATCCATGTGAAGGTCTTGATGTGAGAAGTCTGTATCCCAAACAAAAGTAGCCTCAATAGTGTTTCGACATTATTGTGAAATTGTCCTAAGATATCACGCATCAAAGTGTACTGGATGTATGTGATGTGTGTGTGTCCTGATAGAAATAACACTGCACTCCACCCCACTGCTTAAAAAGTACACTAAGAGCCAGTGGCCGGCCCATGCACTACACTATACATAATTACCTCACATTGAGCTGTTAATCTTTGTCATCATATTTCATGACTAGGTTATTGAAAGGCATTATTTGAACCATAATAGATTCAAATGACCATAACAATAATTTGTGCTTTATAGAATTTCACTGATTTCCCTCCTTATTCTGTCTTTTCAAGTTTTGGATTATTAGAAATATTTTGTTTTGTTTTTAAAGATTGTATTTTTTTCAGAGCAGTTTCTATTTCACAGCAAAATTGAACCAAAGATGCAGAGATTTCCCTGTATTCCTCTCATCCCATATATACATACACATAGTGAGTCCCACAATATTAACATCTTCTCCCAGCATCTTCAATTTTTGTCACAGTTGACAAACCTACACTGACTCACTATGATTACAAGCAGGTGCCACAATATGCAAGTTTCAGTCTGACTTTATACTTCATTTTTAAACAAGCAAAGTAGTCTCTATTTTATTTATTTATTTATTTACTTATTTATTTTTGCCAAGCATTCTCTTTACTTCTCTTGGTAGAAGTCCAGCTGCGTTGCAGGTAGCCACACTTGATTGCAGGAACTTGGCAGTTTCCTGCCAGTATCTACCCAGCTTTCAACTGTGGACTTTCTTTACTAAATATGCAGTCTCTGCAATTCTTTAAGGAGATAACTTCCAAAAAAGAGTGCGGGATCCTGAGAGGAAAGGAACTGTGTGGTAGTCATACTGGAGTTTGAACCCAGGATACAGCATTTAATTGTTGAGTGCTCTGGGCAATTTACTTAACCACTCATGCTGTAATTTACTAATCCGTAAAATGCAGGGCATAGAAAATACTTAAGGGTTTGGAGGGTTAACATATGTCTAATACTCAGTAATGACTGGCATGTAGTAAGTGTTTAATAAGTGGTAATGAAGATTATGAGGGACATAGCTGTGGTAAAAGACATATCTTTTCTTTAATACTTACAAATGATGTTTAGATTTGTGTTTACTTTTCTTTTTTTCTTTCTTCCTGTCTTTGTTTTAACAACCAAAATAGCTTTGCTAACCCACCCTTATAGCCTGCTTGCGGTCTCTTTCATGGGCACTTTGTGCAGTTCAAGAACTCATAGTTCAACTGTAATTTAAGGAATGACTTTTGGTCATGGATACTTCATCTGCTAGTCCTTCCTTCTGTTGCTGCTGTAGATTAGAAGAAACAACAACCACATTAAAGAAATAGTCTACGGCTTTTATCTTCATGTCTACCTACGCATCCTCTTGGGAGACTAAGTTATCTTTTCTCAAGCTGGTACAGATACATGAAATTTTCCTTCTGATAATTGGCATTCTAGCTGTAGTCCAAGCTAGTAGTTTATAACAAAATGAAAACTGCAGTTAGAATGCAACTTTCTTATGTACAAGAAAAGGCCTGTGTTGTGGCACAGGAGGGTCAGTACTAGGAGGGAGTCCTCCTAGACTAAAACTCTGGAGGTAGCTGGGGAGATCTACTAATAAGCTGCTACCGACCTGTTTCAGTGAGGAGCAGCGCTGAAAGCTTGCTGTGAATGTTTTATGCAAATAAAGGAATCCAGGTCCCTCCCTTCCAGTCCTAGCCATTCCAGGATGTCCTCTCCCTTCTTCAAAAAGTGGATTGAGCCAGGAGGGGCACCCCCCACCCGTCTGACTGCACTCATGTTGGATTGGAGAAGGAAGGTTTGATAGCTAGAAAAGACACTGATAGAATGCCCAAAAACAAGCAGAGAAAAACACTTAGAAACAGACAAATAAGAAAAAAATATCAGCAAGAATGCCTGTAAATACAGGGTATAAAAGCGTATCCTCTGTTGCTTTCTTCTCATAAAGCTTTAAGTGACAGAATTTGGATGAAGCCATGACATCCAAGTGCAACCCACCCAACATGAAAACACACAGCTTTTGCTTTTAACCTGTATCATGATCTAAATTGCCACAAGTCATCACACAGTAAAGTAGTTAGGGCTGCGAGTTTAACACATAGGTTAGGTCATTGGCTTATCCTTTTCCTGGACAAGTTCTTCAGAGCATCTGTTTTCTGCAGCCCATTAAGAGAGGTCCCAGTGAACACTGATGGTGAAAGTGCTCACACTTCTGGCCTTTGCAGAGCTTGGAGTTCAGGAGTCATACCAAAACTATTAGCAAACAAGGGAACATAAATGATATATATATGATAGTGTGAAATGATATATAGCATTTAGCTGGTGATAAATGCTGTAAAAAAAGTGAGGTGGTTTGATAACTGTCTGGGCAACATCCTCAGATCAAGCCCTCCGAGAGCAGCCCCATCAACCTGGAACTACAAGACAACAGCAATCCCTGGGGAAGATCCAGGAAGCAGAGCTCTTGGTAGAGGAAAAACAAAGTACAACCACCACGACACAAGGCCGGAGCTTGGTATGCAAACCTACAATATTCTGCCAGAGTAGCCTCTGCATCTGCTCCTCTTCATAAGAGCAGGTAAGTTTGGGGCAGCAAACATTAAATCATTAGAAGGGGGAGCTGGAGAGGCACCCTTTCAGGGTTAATTGGACTCCTCCACTTACCAGATCTGTTGTCTTTAGTTAATTATTTATTCTCTCTGTTCTTCCATCTCTCTTCTGTAAAATGGGTATAATAAAACCAGTTTTATTGAATTTCTGTGAGGGCTACATAATATTAAAAATAAACATGTGGAGTAGGGTCTACCACATGGGAGACATACAAACAATAAGATTTAGTATACGTATTTGTGTTCTTATCAATATAATTATGTTTATTATTTTGAACGCTCAGTGACCTTAGAAGATTAAAATGTGGATAATATTTTTTTTAATTTTATTTTAACAAAAAGATTAAGATAAAAGAGGACATAACAAAACTGGTCAGAACAGAACAATTTAAGCAACATAGTGTTTCACCACAAGACAATCCGACATAACAGTAGCTACCATAGTGTCTCTTTCCTTGAAATATTTGAGTATACGTACATATACTATAGTATCAAACATATGGATAATATTAATAATAAAACCTACATCATGGAATTTGGTTGAGGATTTTATGAGATCAGATATAGTCAGTCCCTAACAGAGGTGACCTATACTCAACAGTCTCGTAGCTATGATGACTGAATTTGTTAATAATACTATTGGCTGTAAATTAAAATTAGTATCAAATATACATGTTTTCTAAGCTGATGGAACTTAAATTAGTCCTAAAGTATTGAAATAGTTCTAGAACTGAACTTTAGCAAACATTTCATTTGGTGCAAGTCCATATTCCTTACATAAAAATTCATATTGGCTGCATTTTGGGATTTCATATCTGCCCCTGGGCCTTCTTGACCATCTCCTATCATAGGCACAAAGTCGCTAACCCCAGATGCCTTTACTATACGTGAACCTAGATGTTCAGTTCAAGTGTGCCTGCTGTTTTTCATGGCACTGTACTAATGCTCTGTCTTTTTGGCTTTATGAGGGAACACAAAGAACACAGACAGAGTTAGTATGCCCCATCTCCAAGTGTCTTAAAATCTCCATTTCCAGCATTTACCATGAATAAAGGAGCAAAAAGCTCAAGGATGCAGAGTAATACACTGAGCATTTTATTATCATTAGTTGGCCATGTTTGTAGGATAGTCAGTGAGGTATATAAGGTTTGGAAATAACTTTAAAGAAAAGGAAGAAAGAGAGGAAAAGGAGAGAACAAAATGGGAAGAGAAGGAAAGAAGGAAGGAACAAATGTAAAATGAGGGTGTTTCAGGGCCTGCCTCATTGTGTTATAAGGATTAGATAATGAAAATAGTGTCCCTACCCCAGTCTTGGCATCCTGTGGACAGTAATTTGTTACTTGGGCACTGAAAGACTAGTATGTGCAGGGAATGAATGAACCCAAGTTTCTTGTATCTTGGAGATATACTTTGGTTGAAGAAACAGAAAGTAGTCAACCTGCTCGTAGAAATCCAACATGTGAACACAAAGAAAATAGATGCAATATAATGAATTTTTTTTTAAAAAAAGAGATGGAATTGGATGGGGTTGTTGCCTTGTACAAAGAATTCAGGGAAGGTCTCTAATGTAACATGACATTTTGACAGAGACTTACCAAAAGTAGGGGAGTAAAGCCTACAGACAAGTAGGTAACTGCTGATTTGGGCAGAGGAAACCCTGCAAAGGTCTCATGGCAGGGACAGTGTAGAGAATGCAGGAACAGCTCCAAGAGGCCAATGTGGGTCTAGCAGAGGGAGATCCAGAAGGGATGGAGCAATGCCAAAGAAGTCATTGCAATGGGTAAGGACTTAGAATTTTGTAATGAGTGAGGTGGGCATCAGGAAAGTGAAAAGTGCTGTGAGGTGTAAAAAGAATCACCATATCTTTGAGTAGGGAATAACCTGCTCAAGCATGAGGGCAAGCACAGAAGCAGACAAGTTAAGAGGGCATTGCATTAACTCAAGCAGAAGATGAAGGAAGTTTCTAGACTAAGAAGGTAAAGAAGGGGATGATGTGACCTGATCAGTCTGAATACATTATGAAATAGATCTCAAAGATCTTGCTGGTGAATTTCAAATGTGGTGTGAAAAGAAGAGAGAAGGTAATGAGAGCAACTTTTTTAGTCGGTGGAAGAAAAATTCAGAGATTGCCTACTTTGACATGGAGGGTATCCTGAGAATGAAATTCCGTGGCAGAAGGGGTCCTGTCTCAGTCACCGCCCTTTACAATCCCTTCTCTATTTTTAACCTTGACGTACTAACTAAAATAAAATATCCTAATTCCCAAGCTCCCTTATAGTTTCAAGTGACAGTGTGACTGTGACAGGTCAGATGAAGGGAGACATGTCTGGCTGAATTCCCTGGCAACATAAACCAAGGTGCAGCCTCATAAGGGAAAGGCCATTGCAAGAACCACCTGTAATGATGGGAACACTAACAACATGGGGAGTGCGGGTCCTTGAGGTTGTAATAAACCAGTGGTTTCAAGCCTGGACAGACTGCCATGTTCAAAAATGTCTACTGTGTATTATAAATAAGCCTGCTTGCCTAAGCAAATGATAATCAAGTATTTTCTCATTCACAGTGAATACATTCTTACCTGACATTGAGCATCTAAGTGGATGCTGTTCAAGAAGTTTTTCCTATCATCTGACCTCAAAGAAGAGGTTAAGTGTGAAGATATATAACATGATATAATCAGTATATAAATAATATTCAAAGCAGGGGTTCAGGAAGAGAAGACTCAAAAAAGCAGATGGAGAAAGGATAGTGATTGAGAGAGAAAGGGAAGCTAATCCATGTGATGTCCTAGAAGCACATAAAGAATTATTTTCAAAGAATCAGCTGTGTCAGGTGTTAATGAAAGATAAAGTAAAAATGGATGGTGGATTTGGAAATATAGAGACCATTGATGACCTTGACAAAAGCACTTTAGGATCAATGTGAAATAGCTAGAATTTTTATTGGTTACATATTGTGCCCAGACTCAGATAGCATCTGTACTTATCAGAAACAGTCTAGCATACTACTTCCTTTTTCATTAACACAAAGAATCAACCAACCAATGAAACAATGGTTTTCACTGATGAAAATTCAAGGAGTAAGGATAGCAGTGGTGATTATAAATGCATAATGCATCATTTTCTATACATAATAGTAACTTTTTTTTGTCTTTTTTGAGAACAGGATCTTGCTATGCACTTCAGGCTGGCCTCAAGCTCACTTTGTAGCCCAGGCTGGTCTGGAACTCGAAACGATCCTCCCAACTCAGTCTCTCAAGTGCTTGAATTACAGGCGTAAGCCACCACACCTGGCGTAATACTAACATTTTAAGACTTTTTATTCAATTGTAAACCTTGGGAAAAGGCACAAAGGTAGTATAATAGGTTAAAAAGAGAATAGAGTTGAAAAAAGAAGAACTGAATGCCACTCTTTTTCTACTTTTTGATCCAGAGATACAGGATCAAATATAGATAGATGACAGATAACTAGATAATTATGTTATAAGGTGTTGGTCTTTCAATAATATAGGCTAAGAAATCCCACAGTGCACAACGAAAAATCTAGAGACCCAGAGCTTGTGATGCAATCTAAAAACTGAGGAGCCAGTGAGCTTATAATCTAGATTTCATTTTAAGTCTGAAGACCTGAGAGCCAGGAATTTATGCAGAATGTTCATTACCCAGTGTAGTAGTCAGGGTTTACGAAAGAAAAAGATTTCATACAGGACACATAATTTATAGGATTATTTTATAATATTCACCCAAAAAGTCAAATGCAAAAGAGTTCAGGAGATCTGCCTATGCTCTAGAGATGCAAAGAATCCAGCTGTGGGACTGGATCCCATGGCAATGTCTTTCGTAAGTCCAGCTGAAGATCTAGAGCTCAAAATAATGTCTCATGCAAATCTGTACTAAGGATCTGCACTGGAAAGGCCCAAAGGTCAGTAGTGGAAGCTAGAAAGTCTGTGCCAGCCAGATGCAGGATCTATGCCAGCAGGCCGAGGGATCTGTTTTGGAGCCAGGAAGCAATGCTCAAAGTTAAGGACCAATTCTCCTTTTACACCGTTAGCAGCAATCTTCAGGTGGGCTTTCCAGGCCCGGTACCACATCATTTAGGCATTACAAATTGACCATTAGTTAATCCACCCCACCCAGCTAAAGTAAGCAAGCAGAAAAAACTCAACCTTCTCTCTCTTTTTGCTCTATTTAGGTCCTCAATAGATTGGATAACAACTATCCACACTGTGTGTCTATGTTTGTTTCTAGGTGTTTATGAGAATCTGTTTCATTTAGTCCACTAGTTCAAATGTTAATCTCTTCCAGAAATACCCTCGTGGATATATTAAAAGTAATGTTTAACCAGATATCTGAGTATCTTGTGGCCCAGTCATGCAGATATATAAAATTAGCCTTGACACTCTCCACCTCTAATTGTATGCACTGATTTTAAATGGGTCCTATGAGCCAACCTATTCTCCTCTCTCCTTTCTATAACATACTAGATAACTAAGATTTTCTGCCAGTTTTAATCTTCTGATTTCTAGACTAATAAATGTTTTCAAATGTACAGTTCTTTAAGGAGCATCTAGCGTATTGTAGATATTTAAGAAATAGGTTTAATGAAAAATGAGTATATATATTCAGAGACACTGACATTGACACTGTCATTGTTGTGACAGTGTTATTGTCACTGATGTGGCAGACATATTCTCATGGAGACGTTAAGAGAGAGACGTTGACACAGGTTTAGGTGACTGGATTCATCAGAGTTGGTAAGTAGTGAAGCCATGGTTGGATATTGTAACTCAGAATCAGTGATGAATTTTGTTTAAATTTCAAAACATAAAATGTAAAACTTTCCTGTTCACAAAACACCTCTCCTTTTATACATTTATAATTATATGGATAGGAGTCAACCAAAATAGCCAAAGCTCCGACTAATTGGTCTAAGCTTTAGAGACCGTCAAGATAAAGAATATATACCTCACACGTGTTGAAATAACTGGTTTAGGTACTGGCACATCATTTAAAAATACCTCAGTGAGTTCTTTTATTACAAGCAAGAATAACCTCATTCATGGAGAAAGTCTTTTTTTTTTTCCCTTGAAAGTTTATTTATTTGATTCCTCAAAGTAAAAATGCCCCAAATTCCCACACAAGCAGAAACTTAGTTAAGCTGCTTGGGTCTGTCGAGTATGCAAATATCACAATCCAGTCGTATGTTAGCTTGAAAAGATAATGTCATGCAGAAAATTAAGACCATCTGATGAAATCATGTTATGAAATGCGGCTTGAGAGAGCAGCATTTTGTATGTTACAATTTGATGTATTTTCACACCAAAACTCAAATGAACAGGCAAGGAGCCTCAATTAATGCAAAATTTGAAAATTTGAGACAAATTTACAAGGTGTTTACTAAAAAGAACAGGGAGGAGGGAGACATCTTAAATACTGTCTCCTCAAAACAGTCTTGATTCTGTGTATTGCGACTGAGATCGTGAATGCCTTTGCTTTTCATTTAGAGTTTTGAATTTAATATGATGGCAGTTTGGATATAATAATGATGCATTTATTGTTAATTTCCTTAAAGCCTTCCTAACAATGTGGACCATTATCACCCCAAATACTTTCTGTGCTTGAAGGGATATTTCCATACTCCACAGTACACAGAAGCGGACTCTAAAGCAAGGTTTAAGAGGAATATATGAGAAGCTAGAATATATTTCCTTAGTAACTAGCTGGTCTTTTTTTCTTCTCTGAAGAACTATTTTCCACAAGATGAGGAGACTTGACAGAACTTTATTGGTTCATAAATTAACTTGGTAGATTTACAATCATCACTTAGAATGCCAGGAACTCTTTTGAGGAGTTCCTGTTCAAAAACAGAAAAAGCATGCTTAACTCAGAATATGAAATTGGCACTCCAATACACCTAGACGACAGACAGTGGGCTACCTTGTTTGTCACCTATGGACGTGATCCCATCTGCAACTGACCCAGTTATTTTTGACCCATGGGATTTTTTTTTTTTTTTTTTTTTTTTGCCTTTTTGAGACAAGGTTTCACTATGCAGTTTATTCTGACTTTGCACCCATTTTGTGGCCCTGGTTGATCTCAAATTCACAGTGATCATTCTGCCTCAGCCTCCTGAGTGGAGTGCTAGAATTACAAGTGTCTGCCAGAGTGAATTTTAAAACACACATTCATGATTATATTTTCTAATGTAAATGAATAAACAATAAACTGCCACTAGCCAGATAATTATTGAGAAGTAGTCAGTCAAATTTGTTGATTTTCTTAGAAGGTTGAGAAGTCAAATGTGAAGTTGAGAGGTCAAATGGACATGATACAAGAGTCTAAAATACCCATGACTTCCTTTTAAGCAGAAAATCTAATCCAGGAGTAAAAAAAGATAGATAATATCTACATGACTTTTTCCTATGTAGCCAGACTGATGGAGGTCAATGGCCACATCCTGAGCAGATCTCTGGGCTCAGCATTCATGAGAGAGGTGTTTTGCAAAGTACACAAGTGAACGACATTGTCCTATGCTGAGCAGCAGTAGAGGGAAATTCTTAACCCTGTCTACTGGATCAGAACTCTCTGGCCTGTTCGACTGTAAAATTCTGCAGCTTTTTCAGAAGGAAGAATACCAAAAGATAGATATTTAAAGCCAGACTCTTGCATCCTGTGGAAAACATAGGCTACTAATAATGAAGGAGCTGCCCATTTAGCCAAAACAAACTTGGGCTCCATTTTCTTGTGATCCAGGCAAGCAAATAAAAAAAAAATTTTTTTTTAAAGTAGGATTGGAGCTAATTATAGGAGGCAGAGAGTGGATAAAAGAGCTCCTTGTTCAGAAGCATCCACATATTTTCCTGAGATGAAGAGCAAATATTTTGTTTAAATAGCAAGCAATTTTCTATAAAAGTGCTACTGCTTGGAAATGCTCTTTATGATTTATTGCTGCCTTTTAACCTGAAAAAAATATTAATAACTGAGGGGCCCTTGTTGGTATCTTTATTATGCTTAAACCCAAGTAGCCATAATATTATAACTAGTGTGGCCACATTCAGTATTTTTCTTTCATGAATGCAGCTTGGGCTTATTAAGAGACCAGAAAATAAAAATAGAGGCAACCTTCCAGGCCTTAGCTTTACGTGAGATGCCATCATGTAATAAGGCAACCAGCGTTCAGAAGTGGGGTGAGGCCACAGAGAATCTTGCCACGTTTCCCCCCTCCTACCAGAAAGAGCCCTTTTCTGTGTGAGGATTCATGTCATCATTCAGCAGTTTCTTCTGGCAAGGCCAGAATCCAGAACAACATTTCTGTGAGAAAGAAACCAATAAACTCGATCTCTTTGTGAGCAATTTGCCATTAGTTCTATTCTTCTGCCTATTAAGATTCTTTATTTCTTCACCAAGAGATTTCTACTGACAAGTTCATCCATTCACTGCTAGCCTAGATAAAATGATAATAAACAAAATGTCAAAAAATATATTCATGGGACGTTTCCCACCCCGACAATCTCTCCCTCTCTTTGGTCATCAGGCTGCTGTTCCAGGACCATGGAACCTGTGAAATTTAAACCTGTGAAGTTTAAACCTGACACACTGACCGAGGTGCTTAGTTCCTTTAATTCATCACATTTTTGTAACTATGCTTGTATATTACATATTTTAATAACATATATGGTACAATTACTAAGAAGGCAAATACCTAACTTACCTTTCTGATCTGGCTAATAGGCTTGTCTCTGGGATGGAGAGGTTGGATAGAGGCATTACTGGAGGAAGGAAATTTCCGATTTTATGCTTATGAATGATTCACAGAGGAATCTTTTGTTTTCAAGAATCTTTTGAGTCCTTTGGGCGAAAGGCAAATGCTGCACAATTTTTCTCGCACATAACTCCAGCGGAGACACCTATAATACAAAACAGAGATCCCCTGAGGGCACTGTTATACATTTATTATAAAGCAAAGATTAAAACAATTTTATGGAAATTAAAGATAATATGGAACATTTGTCTCTCTCTTTCTCTCAGTCAAAAAGTAACATGAAGCAGTTCAACAAACAGCTCCAGGCACTCCACGCGGGGTGATGGAACGGCTGGGTCTGAGGGGACAGGCGGCTAGCTGCAGGCAGCGAGGTATGGGCATCTTGCTGGAGTTTGGCAATGTGTTCTGAGAAATGATCCACCTTCAAAGTCAGACCAATGGGCCAGTCCAGGGACACTTAGGTGGTTTGCCTTCCTGAAATCGACTCATCAGGACAGGATGCAGGACAGCATGGTGAGGACCGAGGGGTGCTTCCCAGAGCTTTTTAGGTGTTGTCTTTTCTGGAGTGTGTGTGTGTGTGTGTGTGTGTGTGTGTGTGTGCGCGCGTGTGAAGGAGGTGGAGACCAAGTCTGTTCTTTTTCTACTTGATCTACAGGTTCACTGAACAACAACAAAAAAAAAAATTGTACAAAAGCCCTAAAAAATTTGCAAATCTACAAGCTTACGGGTAGCGTTTCCATTTTGTATGTAACAGAATCTTATTATCAAAACAGTGGTTGTCAGAAGAGGATAAAACATCTGTGTTAAGCAAGAGTTGTTCTAAACTTCAGTCACACCCAGGGGTCTGATTTGACCTCTAGTGCACCAAATTTATGTAAAAGAGAGCTTTCAAATTGGGTTTGTTTTATTTTGATACTCTGTCTGGATACTTCCTTCATACCTCCCAGGCGGTTGCTCTCATGGGTACGCTTATATTTTTGTTAATAAAAAATGCAATTGGTGCTAATCTAGACTTCCATCATGGTCGTTCAAGCTTTCCAATGTTAATACCACTCCCAAAGAAAGGATCATCAAAAACATTCATTCAGGCAACGTGGCTTTGCGGTCAAGGCAGTCAGCCATATTTAGAAATGTCTGCTTTCCATTCCCTGGTCCACTGCCGGGTTACTATGTGACATTTATAAGCTAATTGTTTCTCTCAGTCTTGATTTCTTGAGCTTTAAAAGGCTACTCTTTATTTACTTATTTAACAGACTGGGGAGAACAATAATTTATGGAGTGAACTAGTTAAGAGATACTGGGCTTTTGATCTGACTGACCTGAGTAGGGAATCTCTCTTTGCTACTCACTAGCTCCACAACTTAGTAGAAGTTACCAACTTTAACTCCCGTTTGTGTCTAGAAACGTAGATATTGTGAAGACTGACTGAGATAATATACGTATATAAAGTGTGTTAAGATGATGACTGACACACAGCACTCCATAAATGTACAGATTTTATAAATAATAATAATACCTAAATGTTGTTAGGACTCCACACAAATAATTAACTAAAGAGAAAGCATTATCATACAATTATTATTCATAAATAATAATAGCAACATTTATATACAGATTTTTATGAGTCTACAGGGCAATGAATTTTAATGCCAGATCACAGGCACTGTACTTCACCTTCACTTTCAAACTATATGACTTTTTCATATAGTGGCATAATGCAGTACAGACACTTTGAAACACCTCCGATTTTAATTCTCCTCCCCCGCTGCCTCTTGCTTCGTGCTCTCTGATGAAAATTAAAGGTTAAGAGCAATCTGTTTAAGGAGGAAGCTTACCAGCCAGAACAAGCCAGGGGATGGCGCAGAGCTCAGAGAGCAAAGGGAACAGGAAGGGAGACATAAGAAACTTATGCAACACACAGAAGGTAGGTCTGCTCTTTCACATGAAAAATACCCTAGGCGGAAAAACACAGCACCAAAAATAGCAGAAGAAATATTTTCAGGCACTTATCATGTGCATCCTTTTACCTCGTCCAATGGGAACTGTGCTCCTCTGAATGGATGGATGTTTTTAGAACAGTAAATACAAAAGCTCTCTTGTTAGAATTCATTAAAAAAATAAAGGTAAAAGAGATTTCTTTTATAATCACAAAAAAAGACATAGAAGCCAGGGCTTCCTGGGTAATAACACACATCAAGGGCATTAGAGGGACAAGGCCTTCATTATTAGCTAATAACTTTCACCCTGCAGTGTCACTGCTTAATTATGGTTCCTCAAATATTTTGGCAATAAAGGAACCATAATATACTTTCAAACACATATTGATGTACAGCCCAACAATATAGTTGTTTCTTATCTGTTAATGAGGTTGAGACCTATGCCTTTAAAGGGATCACAACTAAATTCTTGGGTATATTTTGCTGCTTAAATATTTTTGAATATATGAATTTATCGGGATTTAGGGATTAGGTAACTGCTGTCTACACACAAAAAAATCTGCAAAATTTTCATTACTTTTTTATTAGTTGGCAGCAAATACTCTAACTGTGAACTTTTATGAAGCTATAAACATAAAGGACCTTCTGATACTGGTATGATGATAACCCTAAATTTCCTCTTTGCAGCTGTGGTTGATCCCCCGTTTGGTACAGTCTTTGTGTGCGTGTGTGTGTGCGTGTGTGTGTGTGACTTACAGAAGAAAGTTGGCTCACTACTGTATTGCCTTCAAGCAGTTTCTTGGGAAGTTCTTGAATTAAAGCCACATGGAAACCCAATTCCCCTCTCCACCTTTCCCTTAAGGTGGTTATAAAATGTCAGTAGAAAGCAAAGCTGTTTATTTTACTTAGGGTTGGATTCTGTTAGTAAACGAGTTTCTGGTGGGGCTTATGTGCAAACCACATCTTTGAGTCAGTTTCTTTACATTACTAAATGTGTATTAAATTGTGCCATAAATATTAATTTTAAATCCAAAAGTTCAGATTTCACTTAAGTCCATGTGAATAAGCATAGAAACTGTTTAACTCTAGGTTCACTTTCTAGCTTCATTAGCAAAACTTTGCTTAACTTTTGCAAGTAAGCAGTTGAAAACAACTATGCTGTCTTCCCAATGGACTAACTTCTCACCTAGGTGAAACGTGTAGCCTGGTTGTAACGCCACAGCTTGGAGATCTCTGCAAAAAGAGTATGGCAATCCTGGCAGGGCAGCTTTACTCTTGGAATCCAGGAGATGATATACACTAGGCAGGCCCTGGCTGCTGGGCCATGTCTAAAGCTTCTAGAGTTAGCAGTTTCCAAATATGATGGGACAAAGAGCTACTTTGGGAAGTGTCAAAGCAAGAGGATATGGGGAAGTAGACTAATTAGAAATAATATGACTTCTCTGAACTGAGCATTAGGAGTTATCTCTTATGCAATCAAGCTATGTTTTAGGGTCTAATGAGAAAGAAGCCCTCAAGAGGCCCTCAGCCCCTCTATCTACCTAAGCTTTGAAATATTGCAAGGCAGACAAGTATTAGTGCATTTATAGGTGGGGCACAAAGACAAAGACATCAATTCCTTTTCCTTTTCACTTGACTTAACTGTGGCAACAACTGATTTTTTTTAAATAATTTCAAGTTTAAAGAGAAGGGTGGTAGAAATGGAAATTGTTGCAGATTGGATTGTAAGAAACACTTACCCTCCTTTCTTTCTTTTCTTTCCCCTATAGCCTTGGGCCTGCTGACCCTATGTAAAGCTGTAGAAGTCTACCCATTGTTCTGGGTCTTCGGGGGTGAATGAAATTCTTTCATTGAAGAAATACACCACACCACTTTTTCTGTAGGAAGAACCCATTCTATTTTCACTTGAAATCTCGTGATGCTCTACAAATGTGTTTTAAAATCTGCATTATTAGTCATAACTACAGCTGTAACCTTTGCAAATCCATTGGAAATAATTAAACATATTGATATGAAATCTAGTGCTCTTTGAGATAATCTTTGACTTTTGCTTTACCTTAAACTCTGGTTTTAAGTCTACTGTTTCTGAAGATCTTGGAGCCCACATATTTGTAACCACTGAACTTCTCAAATAATCCAAAGGTGGTTGGAAGGCACTTGTTTTGACTGTTAATTCAATGGGTCTTAATGAAGTGAATCTTTGGATATCATCTGGACTCTGGCTGCTAGTATCATCTTTATCTTTCAGAGTTTGAAGTGGAGACTGCTTGGATTATAAAGTAATCTCCAGGTAGTAATAAATGTGTGATGGGCAGTCAACTTTCCTAAGCACATGGATAACTCTACCATTTTTGTGCCATTAGCTTGTAGATTTGTGTTGTTTACTATATCAATGATGTGCCTCCAATAAGAAAAATTAAATTAGGAATAAAGTCAACAAAATTAATTATGTGTGGTGGTAAATTTCTTTTTTATTTTGTCTCCTATGCATATGCACCAAGACTTATGCTTGACTGATACAGTTGACTTAAGTAGTAAATCCGTAACATCTAGCAGAAAATGGTAGAAGGTAGTGGTTATGAGAATGGTGTGTGAAGTCACATTTGGTTTAAATAAATGTTTTGATACTTACCAGCCACATGAACTTGGTCAGGTAACTCAAACTCTCCAAGTCTTGGTTTTACCACTCCTAAATACTTATAATTATGTTAGTGATTATTAAATAAATTAAATTATATTAAATATTAAATATATTAAATAATAAAATTAATAATAAATATATTAAATAAAATTACATAAGGGCTTGGCACAACTGATGGTGCATAGCAGTGCTCTAAATTTGTAGTAACATTTGCAAATATCTTGTGACAGGTTGCAAGAAAGGGATTCAGGGGAATACTACTGAATAGTTAACTCTTTGGGATTTTTCTTTGAAAATCCAGCTGGCCCCCACTCACTATACAGTTCTCTGTACAACTCAGGTATCAGTGCTCACAACTTACTATCCAGGACATAGGAACAAAATAGACCATCCTGGGCTGATCACACCAGAAGCAACAGAGTGCATTTGGATACAGTGGGGACACTGGAAAGGAAGAAAATGAAAAAGCAAAGTAACAAAAGAGCCTGACAAAGGACTGGACCCAGCGAGGAATGTTGGGGGAAAAGACGTGAAGGATATTTAGGGTTCTAGATGAGTAGTTCAAAGTCCTGCAGCAAGGCACTAGCTTGAAAAGGCCTTTAGTCTTGCAACTGAGTCAATATCAGTGCTGACATCTGTACTGGTATCTGGAGCTGGGGTGTGCCTTATATTCAGGCCTGCAGCTTTATAGTTCTGTACTTACCACTTAATAAAAATGACACCATTACTAAGATTCATAATAATGAAGACAAATATTTACAGGGTTTTTGCCATGTGTCAGACTTGTTAACATGCATGAGCTCATTTAACATTCCTAATACCTTTTAGAAGCAGGTAGTTTTGACCTATTGCTGTTTTACAAATGAGAAGATTGTGACTTAGGAAAATGGTAACTTCTTAAAAGGTCATGCAAAGTATAGATGGCAGTCCTTAGATAAACCCAGATTTTTGACAAATTCAGACTTTAGACAAATCTCAAGCTCAAGTTCTTAACAAGGCTGTTATGTGTGGTTGCACAGGATGAGCACTATAAAATTCCTCATCCTTGCTTTCATTCAAGATATCTGGCAAACAGAAGGGCTGTCTAATAAAGAAGCCTCAGCTATGAATCTCTACTCTGCAGTGTCCCTAATCTGTCCCTTTAAATGAACAAGAAAAGCCTTATATCTCATTGTCTTCAATCTGAGGAAGACTTTTTGGCTTCTTTCTTGTGAGTTTCACAAAATCATGGCTGTAAATATGTTTCCAATGTAGGCAATAGTTAAACAAGTCAAGATTACCACCAAAGATTCTACTGGAAATAAATCAGTGCCACTCAAGTGACTTTATATAATGCCTAGACTCTCCCAGGCTAAATCAGAATTACTTCAAAAGTGTGAAATCCTGTATTAATTTAAGGGGAGAAAAAAGGTGTTTAAAAATGTCTCTCTCTATTGAGAATTGGCATCCCCGAATTAATAAATTATGTCAATTCTGTCCAACAGCTTTGATCTGTTAAAACGGATTTTGATCTCTTTTTTGTCCAGGTAAATAAAAACTTGATTTGTAGTAAAGCAATGTCTGTCTTTTCAAATTCTGTCTGTAGAATGGAATTTTGCAAAGAAAGCCAAGTTTGAAATCCTAGGAATCTGGCTGAAGTTTGGAAGTGTTAAAAAATATTTTCTTGGTCAAAGCGAAGGGGCAGACTAGAAGGCAGTTAGCGGCTGAAGTGACAAATTTACTGTCCGGAAAATAGATCAATGGAGCAGAAGCACCTGCCATTTTCCTACCAGAGGAAGACTCTAGAACCAGAGAATCAATTTCTTAGCTGGCCAACTCCATCCTCATATCATCACTACTATGTTGAACATTATTGTTGGTGTTTGATTTGACAACACTCCTTTGAAGAAACAACAAAAGCCTTTTGAATTATTATACTTTGATAGAAGTAAGCTTTCTACTTACCAACTTTCCCTCATTTTTCTTCTGAAATTTCTTCCTCTCTTATCTTCTTATCCTGCATCTGTTTAGTCTCCTTTCTTGTTGACTCACGTACCTAGTCTTTACACACATGTGCCATCTGCTTCTCAATCTTCATAGTATTTCTTTCTTCCAAAAATTCTGGAGGTTATTATTTTCCCATTAGAGCAGAACACCAGGACAGAGAGAACAGTTTAGTATTCCAAGATTCCATAAACAGCCCAGTGATTGCTGAGATTTAAACGACCTCACACATAATTTTCACAAACAGAGATGCATTAAATGGTTCCAACAGGTGTATGATTATAAAACAAATGTCGCATTTTTTGTGGAACTTAATACTGGAATATAAGTTCTACTATTACTTCTTAACAGCAAATGGATCAAGCAGTACAATAATACAGCAGGCTCATGGAGCCAATTAATCCATTAGAGGAAAATTCCATTTATTTGAAAAAATAGAGTTTTAGCTTAAAGAGAAACTGTGGACATCAATCCTAAATGGAATCCATCTTAGCAAGTTACACACTGTTTTGTAGATAATTTAAAATCCAGCTATAGATGACAAAGAAGGATACTGAGAAAGAAAATTGCTATTTTTAATAATATCTGGCTTCTTGAGGGATACTGAAACTTTGTCACTGACACTAATTATTATGGTGTTTTATTTGCAGTCACAATGAGACCAAAAGTGGAAGTATGTAAGTATGAAACAAGTTCTTAGCTTTATTTCTTCATCCCTATCTACTTCAGGGTTTTATTTATGGCTAAATTAGAGCTGGATGTCAAATCTGGGCCCCTCAGAAGAAAATCTTAATAATTAACTGGCAAAACTGAACATGATCGCTTTTGACACACCTACACTGGTAATTATTGCTTTGAGGCCATTTACTAATGAAATTAATGTATTCATTGCCCTAACAAATTAGCATAACTCATACATAATGCCCCACATTTCAAGACCTCTCTAGAAAAACAACACTTACTACTGCAGAATGAAATGGCAAGGGCATTACAGAGACAGACTTCACTGAATTACTACGCATAAAAAAACCACAATGGCTAAGTGTTCGTTACAATGCAAAATGTAAACACAATGTGGGTATTAAAGCCATTAATAGTGTAGTCAAGAGTGTACAATTGATGATTATCTTTGCACTTCAAATAAGTAGATATTACAATAGCAGTAACCATGGAATCTAATTAACTGGCTACTTTTAGAACTACAAAGTATGAAAAGAATGCTCTGAAGACAGCCTCGGCTTCCCACTGCAGTGACAAAGAATATTGTTCAGCTGTTGCCACTTGTGCACGTTTCTTACTAACTGAACTCAGTGGCACAGTAATTAAAGAGCACCCCTCGCCCCAGCAGCAAGAGGGTTAAAAAGTGGTGGGTAAACAGCTTAGTAGCTACCTGTTATGCTTAAGGGGGAAAAGTGTGAAGACTCTCCTAGTCTAGGCTTAATGTGTTAGAATAAGGAAATAAGTTTGCTTTTATGCTTTCAGAGCTTTTCACTCCCAATGTCGAAGAATAACTGTAATTCTAGGAGCAGCAAGAAGACAAAAAAAAAATTAACTCAAAACTAGTGTTTTTTTTTTAAAACAAACTGTGACATACAGATATCTTCCCAAGCATACAAAGGTGGTAAAAGTTGATGAAGTTTCCAATACCCCCTCCCTAGACAGACGTACGGAATTATGCTCTAAAATCATTACACACTTGATTGCAATGTCGCTTAAAGTAAGTGTACCTTGGACACACGCACATATACACACACACGTAAGCATCTACACACACATATACAGTCAGAAATTACTGGACAGTTGAAATTTGGGCTTGATTTATGCTCAGTAGAACAATGATGTCTGTTTCAAAAACATTTGCATTTGCTACTTCCTTCCATTCACAGATACCGGCCTCTATTTAGTATCACACCTAGAAACATGTATTTCATCAAATTTTAGGGCAAAAATGAGAGAACTCAAAGGATGGATAACAAATGGATGGAAGTAAGGTGAGCTATCTTATAATCGAGCTTTCTCACATTGAAGGAGGAAAATAGATATTTGAATATTTATGCAAATTGTCTAATATATCATTGTCAGTTTAGTCAGCTGAAGCTTCTGGCTTTTCTAATCCTAATTCCACAGCTCTTTTCTTTACACTGATGAGAGAGTGAGTGTAAAAGCTTCCTAGAGAGAAATTATAGGATTCTCTTGCTTTGTTGAAGAGAAAAAACAGCCAAGAAGTATATTTTAGGACCAACGGTGTCATTAAAGTGGCCAAGAAAACATATTTTCAAATATTGATAATCCTAAAATGTCATAAATCCTGAAGTGTATGCAAGGATTCAGCTGTAAAGAATCCACTCCTTAGAAACCCAGGCTCCAAGCTTGACTTTTGTGTCTCCCTATATCATTCTAAGGGGAAGGAAATACTTTCCTTCATCAAATATACACAAAGAGTTGGGAAATAACAAAATCCTGTTTAGTTGTTTGTTAATTAAATCTATTACAATCCAGAAGTGAATTTTTACTAAATTGACAAATTACACACACATAACACTCATGTATGTACACATACATTTGTGTTTGCTTTGTATTGTGGGCTTCAAGACTTAAAATTGCTTATAAACAGTTTCTTGGGAAAATCAAGTCAAACAGAAATAGAATGTGGTGACAGTACTGTATTACGCCTGTTACACCACCTCAGCATTCAGTTGAGTTTGAGAGCTGGTTTCTATCTAATTCTCACACAAGAGGCCTTGTAGTTTTATAATTTCTATAACCCTCTCTGAACATGGCTATGTTCTAGTGTTGTGTGTTTATCTCTATTCTCTTTGCCTTAATTTCTTTCCTTCCTTTGTTCCTTCTTTCTTAAGAAGGCACAGAGAAGCCTGAAACTTGGCCTAATATCACATTAAACGGTGGCAAAACCAAGTGGTGACTCCACATACTCCTGGCTCCAAAGCCCAGGCTCTTAACCCTATACTTTTATTGCTTCTCAATAATATCGAAAGAATGATTGATATATACACAGACAAACAGAAGTTTCACTGGATTTTTTTGTCCCCAGGGGCTTTTGGCAGTTTAATTCCATTTGCAATGGATGTTCAATGTAGTGTCTTGTTTCTTCTGTTTTCTGGTTTTTAGAAGGAAATTTCACAAGACTCAAGAATCCTCTCAACAAAGCCTTCATTGTGAAATGGGAAGCAATTGTTCAAAAGGAAAAAGGCACTAGGGTGGGTGAAAGGAATAGGACAGTAGGAAAAAGGGAAAAATTGCAAGTTAGTTATACGATTAGTGTCTCTTAGTTCATTAAAAAGGAAGGATTGTGCTAATATTGATTGGAAAAAATTTTATGCCCATATTTTGTGCCCTGAGAAGCTACTTTAAAGACAACAACATGTAATGTATCAAGTATTGTTATTCTCCTATTAGTTTGTTATGACATTTTGTTTTACTTTTTTTCCATTAAATAAATAAAAGCCCGTCTTCCCCCATGCCCACCCTATTAGAGGACTCATGGTAAAACAGAATCGATGCTTTCTCAACACCTTTAAAACAAGAATAAAATATAGTCCTTCCAAATCTTACTGACCAGAGCAGGGGAAGCTGATACACATTGGTAAGATTGCTTGTTTTCTTTGGATTCTCATTTTGTAACTTAGCCCGATTTAGAGCTTAGCATTTCTTGTTGTGAGAAACCTGAAAAGAATTCTAAGTAAAGTGGAAGAATCTACTTCTCAGGAAGGTTTAAGAATAGGATTGATAAACTATGCAAATGAGCATGAGATCTGGACTTCAGAGAAATTAGGCTAGATTTATTTAACAAATGTTTTTATTAAAATAGAACGTGTTAATTCTGCTGGACTTGGATACTATTCTCTGTGACTGGTATATTTTTGAGAAAATTTGTGAGGAAATTTGGCATGCATGAACTTAAATCTGTCTGCAGCAGAGGCTGGGAGATGAGATGATCCAAACTGCTGTGTTTGCTTCTGTGCACTATGCATATGGGTGTAGCCTGTATTATAAGCAGGTGATTTATCTAGGTCAGCCAAACAGGGTCATTCCCAGCCACACCTTCAATTTGGAAGACTTTGTTACCTAGTCAAACAAATATAGGCTACTCTTTATCAGAAAAACAGACTAATGAATACGGCTGGGTTCCCCCAGTTCTGGAATTCTAACTATAACTGAATTAATTTTTAACTCAAACTCTAAAGAAGCAATAGAGTTCAGAGCAGATAAAGACCATGAAGAAATGACATATTTGTTGAAATTTCAACTTACATAGATAACTACATAAAGCAAACCCAATGGAAGAGGAGGAATCCAGTTTCTGGGTGCCTCTGACCGCCTTCCCCTGGTCCCAGCCTATCAGGTGGCCAGGTGGTCAAATGATACATGGAGTAGTCCCACCCACTGTCACTGCTCAACCCCCACAATCCCTAGCATTGACTTGCCAAGCTCCTTACCGGTTCACATTAGAATGAGTGAGAGGTTAACCTGAGCCAAGCCATATTCTAAACAGATTCATAAATATTAGCTAATTTTAGACCATTTGAAGTAAACGCTATTATTTCCCTGGCACAGAGGAAGCACTCAGAAAATACTCAAATGGAAACATGGAGAGATTAGGTAGCTTGCCCAAGGTCACTCAGCTAGAAAGTGGCAGGACCTCATTAAAACCCCAGGCTGTCTGGCTTCAGAGCCTGAGTTCATCACCTCCGTGCAGTCCTGTACCTGCAGACTGCAGAGTTCTGAGCAGCAACCAGAAGCCAGTGCCTGTGAAGTCATTAAAGTATACAATTTCTGCTTCGACTACACAAAGTTCATCAACTGCTCTTAGTGTTCAAGTGCCATTTAGAAAGGAGGTTCTGGACAGAGTCCCAAGACCCAGTTTCAGGCCACAACTCTGCTACAAACTAGTGGCATGACACAGCAAGCTATCCCCTCTAGATGTTTCAGTTGCTCCCACTGTAAAATGAGGCAGACAGTCACTACACGATTTTAAAGTCCCTTTTAGCTGTAACATTTTATGAATCTGTGTCCTCTAGTATCTGTCTTTATCTCTCTTACTTCTTAAGAGTTATAACAATTGGCTTTCATGCCAATCTGTGCACTACAAAAGCTGTAGATGGCATTTGCAGTGATACTGAAGTGACTGCAGTCACAGTCCCTGAGTGCTTCCAGGGTCTCAGTGTCTAAGGTGGGACACAGACAAAAGCAATGATGCTGTGGTGCCCAGAGAGGACAAGCAGAGCCACCCCACAGAGGATGTCCTGAACAAGCAGAAGCCACTAAAGAAAATCTGCTTAAAATGAGAACCAAATTTTCTGAGGTCACAGTGAAAAGAAAATCATTTAGATTTAAAAGAATCTAAAATACATGAAAACAAGTGCACTATTTTACCTAATAAAACATAATGTCATTATATATCCAACTAGTTTTCATTCTCAAAAGAATGAATAAATTGTTAATTTTTGGGTTGATATTTTCCAACAAATGTTATCACAGCCTGTGTGGACAACTTTTGTTTCAAATTTTACCCATGATGCAGTCAATAAAAATAACTTTTTTGGGATTATTCAGGAATCTTCAGATCTCCTAGAAGCCTCTGCTAGTCTCTAAATAATGAAATCATTTTTGTTCCTAGATTTTTCCCTTTTTTGGTTATTTTCTCACAAACTGGGTTAATTGCCATTCATTTTTTTATTGTGTCAGTTATTCAGTTAACCAGCATCATAACCCTTTTTGTCCTATATTTTCTGTTTCATTCTATAACATATCTATGCTGCATGCATTTTATGGTACAGTGTTTGATGACCAGTCAAATACTGAACCGTAGAAGCTTTGGCTTGCCAGAAAAGCAATCCTGAGGCCAACTTTAGTGAAGATGTTTGTGTGAAAATTGTGTTGAGTTACATTAGAGAATTTTTTTGTTACTTGAACTTTCACTTCCCCATGCAACCTCATAACTGCAGGTACCCAAAGTTATCAAAAATCTCTAGCACATAACAGAAATTTTGGCAATCATACTTAAGTATATTTGCAGATATGCACATCTCATTGATCTGCATTACCTGAACACTTCACTCCACATGTCTTCACAATGCTACCTTCTCTTTAATCAGCTAAATGATTATTCAGTTTAATGACTCAATACCTGGTACACTCACCTTCTTTAAAGGTAAAAGAAAATTTTAGGTCTTAGATGCCCATTACTGCAGAGAAAACTTCAGAGATCTTTGTCCTTATTCATCAAGGTAAAAATACCTCAGCCGTTTCTGATATATTTGGATAAAGAGTATTTATTTAAAATACGATTTATATAATAACATACCTTTGTTCCTTCAATGGAATATTTCTCTATTTCTTTAGCAATCGTGTGAGTGCCAGGAATTTGCTTTCTGCTCACACACCATTCTTCTCCCACTCTGATTGTATAACAAACTACATTTCCCAAGTTCTCCTGCAAATTAATTAAAAGACAGTCACAACCAATGGAAAGGACTAGGAGGAGCCAAGAAGTGGGTAAAAAATCTAGAGGATGAGTGGTCAGGAATATCGCCTCCCACACTTGCAAATGTGCCATCCCTGGCTGTGGTTGCATTTCCTCCATCATTCTAACTCCTCCCTGATGGACCTATCTCCTCTATTCCAGCTTCTTCTGCTTTTATCTCCCCCACCACAATTCTATCCCCAGTTGGTTTCTCCAACTGTTAAACCTGACAGCTGGTCCTGTGTTTCCTCTGTTCCTCATGGAAGTCAGGGCTTCCTACTAATATCTGAGTTACTTCACCCCCCTCTTTTTTGATTCCCTCAGCAATTCCATTATCTATAGTAAAAATTCCTTATATTAAATTTCCTCTATTCAAAATATCTAGCCCTGATATCTCGCTGTAAATCTGGGATAAGTGCAACCTATTTCCCTTCACCGTGGAGGAGCAGCCAACGTGGGAAGTGCCTAGGACCCCACAACCAGCTTGTTGGGAAGAAACCAGAAGAATGCCAAGACAGGAGCAAAAGGTAACCTGAGGTCTCCAGCCCACACAAAACAAGTCTGGGAGATATAGATATGGAAGAAAATGGAAGTCACACACCTGAAATCTCTGAGAGGATAGCAACAGAAGTAAGTTGAGTCAGAAATGTCTCAGGTAAAAGAAGAAATCACAAACACAATGAAATTGCTCAGCATGTCTAAAAAAGACATAGATAAAAAAAGAAGAGCATAGGAAAATGATAGAAACCTTCAATGAATATAAAAAGAAATTACAATGCATGAAACAGACTCAAAGAGAGACCGAGGAAATTAAAAAGTCAGTTGAAAGCTGGCAAAACTACTTGAAAGGCACTGAAAGTAGACTTTCAAACCTTGAAGCTAAAATTGCATCGAGCAATCTTGAAAGGAAAGATCTCTTTAAAATACCAAGCGATCAGAAAATAATTCATCAGCTGCAAAATGATGCAAAGAAGCATAATTTAAGAATTATAGGTGTTGGTGAAGAAGCATGGGTTAACACATGAAATTATAAGGTTATTTACAGAAGTAACAGCAGAAAACTTCCAAATATGGGAAAAAGATCTGGCTTGCAGATAAATGAGTCATATGGAACTCCAACTAGCCATAACCAAAGTAAATCTATACCTAGATATATAATAATCAAGATCCCAGAAATTCAACACAAGAACAGAAACTTAAAGAAAGAAACAGATCACCTATAAAGGAAAACCAATCAGAATCATGGCAGAGTTATCAACACAAACCATCAAGTTAAGTAGAGTTTAGAGTGAAATATTTCAAACCCTGAAAGAAAATAACTTCCAACCCAGATTGATATACCCTGAAAAACCATCTTTCAAAATTGATGGAAAAATAAGATGCTTCCATGATAAAACAAAACAAAACAAAACAAAACAAAACAAAAACTGAAGGAATTCATGACTACCAAACTAACCCTACAGAGAGTGCTAAAGGATATTCTAGAGAGAAAATAACCAAAAAAGGGAAAAATCTAGAAACAAAACTGATTTCATTAAAAATGACTATGACTCCATGAATTACAAAACAAGACAAGCAATTGAGTGAAAGGAAAAGTGGAGGGTCAAAAACAGGAGGATAGCATGATAGAGACAAACCAATGTAAGCTGGTTGTAACCATTAATGTAGATAACCTCAGTTCATCATTAAAAAGAAACACAGGGAGAGTGAAAAAAGAAACAAGATCCATTGATATACTGTATGCAAGAAATACATTTAATTGGAAAGGAAATTCATAGATCAAAAATCAAAGGAGAGAAAACAATTGTTCTATGTTACAGGAGAGTAAAAAAAAGTAGGTAAATGGAGGCAATTGGAGATCATCTTCATGGGTCAAACATTTTGAACTCATACATGTGAAACCAAGGATAAGAAACAAAAGGGAGGGGCTGGGGGTTTAGCTCAGTGGCATAAGCACCTGCCTTGCAAGCAGGCGGTCATGAGTTCGATCCCCAGTACCGATAAAAATGAAAAAGACAAAAAAAAAAAAAAAAAAAAAAAAGAAAAGAAACAAAAGGGAGACTCAAAAGCAAAATAGTTATTGTAAGAGTGATAGAGGAGGAAACACCTGGGAAGGAAATGTGGTAACTACTGTTAATTTCTTATTGTTTTGTCTTGAACTTTTGTATTGTTTTCACAATTTTGTTAGGTTTGACTTCTTTTTGTCTTGTTTTGTTAGATTTTACTTTGATGATATGGGCAGCTATTTTGAACATAATGGGATATATTATGGTAATCATGGTTGGTTTCCTATTATATTATTTTGAAGTCTTATAATGCTTTCATTCATTTGTTTAATTGGTTTTATTCTGTTTTGTTTTGAGTGTATGAACAGCTATTTTGAAGAAAATGAGACATTATGGTAGCCATTGCTGATTTCCTATCATCTTGTTCTGAACTCCTATCATGCTTTTGTTCTTTTGTTTTGATTGGTTCTATTCTGTTATGTTTTATTTGGTTGGTTTTATTATGTGTGATGGTATGGACAATTTTTTGAAGAAAATGAGATATTATAGTAGCCATTGTTCATTTCCTATTATCTGGTTTTGAAGTCTTGTAATGCTTTAATTCTTTTGATTGGTTTTATACTATTTTTTTATGTTTGAAATTATTATGTGTGAAGGTATGGTCAACTATTTTGAAAAAAACAAGAGACAGTATGGTAGCCACTGTTAATGTCCTGTTATCTTGCTATGAAGTCCTATGTTGTTTGCATTGTTCTGTTCTGATTTGCTTTTATCTGTTTTGCTTTGTTTTCTTTTGTTTTATTCTCTTTAAAATAAAAGAGAATAAGAAAACCAACAAAATATCTACAATGATTCTAATTTTCTGGATTTAATCCTGGCTAATGGTGCAGCCATGTAATTAGGGACAGTGAGAGGAAAAACTCTACTAATCTTTTGGTGCAATTTTTGGAGTCTTCCATGTAAAGTATCATGTCATCTGAAAATAATGATAATTTAACTTCCTTCTTTTCTGTCATTATCATTTTTATTTCTCTCTGTTGTCTAATTGCTCTGGCTCATGTTTGCAGAACCATACTGAATAAGGGTGGTTTTAGTAGACATCATTGTCTTCTTCCTGAGTTTTCAGTGAAAGCTTTCAGTTTTTGTCTATTTAAAATGATGTGGTGGCATTGCAAGTTTGAGATCAGCCTGGACTACAAAGTGAGCCAAAGGCCAGACTGAACTGTATAGTGAGACCCTGACTCAAAAACAAAAACAACAACAACAACAACACAAAAAACAGTAATGTTGGTTGTTTGTTTCTCACAATTTTCTCTATGATTTTTAGTATGAATGAGTCTTGGACTTTATGAAAAGCATTTTGTGCATCTATTGAGATGATCATGTGAATTTTGTCTTTGGCTCTGTTGATGTGGTGTTTTAAGTTTATTGATTCGTGTATGTTGAACCATCCCTGCATTCCTAGGATGCATCCCAGTAGATTATGATGTATAATTTTCTTGATAGTTTGCTGTTTTTGGTTTGCTAGTACTCTTTTGCATCTATGCTCACTAGGGAGATTGGCCTGTAGCTCTTTTTTTTTTTTTTTTTTTCTGGTTGGGAAGCTTTCTCTGGTTTTGGTATCAGAGTAATACTTGCTTTCAGAAAGGACTAGGAGTAAAGGAAAATTGCTTCCATTTCAATTTCATTAAAAAGTCTGAGAAGTATTGGCATTAGATCTCTAGATTTCTTATAGAATTTAACTGTGAATCCATCAGTATTCTTTGTTGATAAATTTTTTATTTCAATTTCATTAACTGATATTGGGTTATTCAAAATTTTTATATCTTTTTCATTGAGCTGTGGCAATTCATACATTTCTAGGACTCTGTCCATATCTTCTGTGTTGTCCAACCTATATGAGTAAATATTTCCCAAGTACGTATTGATCTGATTTTCCGTAGAATCTTTAGTGGTTTCACCCTTTCATTTCTCATTGTATGAATTTGAGTTTTTTCTTTCCTTTTCTTGAAAGTTGGCCAGGATTTTATCAATTTTGTTTATTCTTTCAAAGAACCAAGTCTTTAATTAATTAATTCTTTGTATTATTTTCTTAGTCTCGATTGCATTATATTCTGTCCTGATCCTTATCATTTCTTTCCTTGTATCAGCTTTGGGCTTGATTTTTTTTTCTATAAGCTTGAGGTGCAGCATTAGGTTGTTTATTTGTGATCATTCTGTTTACCTGATGTGAGAGCTCACTGCTTTTGCCTCTTAGGACTGCTTTCATTGTGTCTCACAAGTTCTGGTATGTTTTATCTGCATTTTCATTTGATTGTAGACATTGTTTAATTTCTTATTTAGTTTTATCTGTGACTGATTGGTTATTTTGGAGGGTGTTATTTAATTTCCATGTGTTTATGTATGTTTTTGCAATTTCTTTTGCCATTAATTTCCAATTTCAGTGTACTATGGTCAGATAATATGTATGGGATAATTTAAATTCCTTTGCCTTTTCCCAAGCATGTTCTATAAGCTAGTATATGGTGTATTTTAGAGAACATTCTATGTACAGTTGAGAAGAATGTATATTCTGACGTTGTTGGATGGAATACTCCGCAAGCATCTATTAAGTCCATTTGTTTACACGTTTGATTCCATTCCGCAATTTGTTTACTGATTTTTTGCCTAGTTAATCTATCTCTTTGTAACCATGGGGCACATGGTGTTTCTGATTATTTTGCTTTTAGGTCTGTTAATATTTGTCTTATATAGTTGGGTGCTCCCACATTTGGTGCATATATATTTATGATTGATATCTCTGCCCCTTCAATTTTTCCCCTAACAAGTAAGTGGTGTTCCCTTCCTTATGTCTTTTGATCATATTTGGTTTGAAGTTAACATTGTCTATGAAAAAAATTGCTACCTCTGCTTTTTTTCGGGTTTCCCATTGCATGGAATATTGTTAACTTTCAGTCTATGAA